TTGATTGGAGCGGATTATATGTGAAATGTTTCTATAGATTAACTTATATGACCCGAGTTCCAGTGCCGAGTTCAGGACATGAAAATGATGAAAAATTCATCACACGGACAAAGTTAAGATACCGAAACAGTTTATAGAACAATGTGGAAAATGAAAGCCGTTCACTTTACTTTTTTCAAAAGAACAGTAGACCAGTAACAGTTAATGAACATGATGAAGTCAAAGGAGAAATAATTATATTATTGTATACATGTAGACTGTAGTGCAGGGCAGTTGCCAGTACGGTCACTTGAAGAAAAAAACGGAGTTATCCTAACAAATTATTCGTACAGTCTGAAGATAATTTCTGCAACAGATCTGTTTAAAACGGCCCTTTTAAGAGCCATGCACATTTTTCAAAAAGAATCTTAATTGTTTTTGTTCGTTAAATCAACCAGAATCTTATTCTCAACCCAATTTGATATAAAATATTCATTTCTTTATTTATATTATCTGATTATTGCACATTTAATTTTATTTCTTAATAGTTAAAATGTATCCTTTCAATGTGTCATACTCATAGGCTATATGGTGATGCATTATATTCACCCTACATCTGAGGAGCTACCATTTTACTTATTTTATATGGGTGTGGGGGGGGGGGGGGGGGGGTCTTTCAGACCAAATGATTATTTTCATTTGTTACTAGGCAAGTGATTTCATATTACATTTAACCATGTAACATTTTTTGAACAAATGTTTCATATACATGTATATATGTAGGTTTATGAAATATTCATAATACATCCCTTATATTATCATGATTATAATATTTAATTTCTTATCAGGCCAGCAAATTATATGCTACAAATTAAATCCTTTATATAATAATCATGCACTTAATTATTTGAAAAATTTAAATTAGAAGTATATATTCCTTTAAATTTCTAAGTCCAAAATTCCACTGGAATATTTGCATTAAATCAAAACTCCACTGAAATATAAACAATAATATTCCACTGGAAATTAATTGGAAAATCTTTGGAAGTTTCATTGGAAATTTCACTGATTTTCCATTGGAATTACAGTGTGAAAAATATTTCAGATGTTTTGGATGAAATTCTAATGGGATTCCATCGGAATATTTTTTTCCACTGAATACCAGTGTAATTTCACTGGAAATCCAGTGGAATCCCGTACTCATTTTCAGTAGGGTAGATGCATGCTTTTCCAGTGTTTTCCATGGAGGATTTATATAGGATGTTGCCCCCATCCTTTGATATTAGAAATTCCCTATTGCTTTATATACCCAATGATTTATAATGTATGACCACCATGATCCTTTGAGTCAACCCCACACCCTTAAAACATAATTCTGTCTTCCCTTTTTTAAGTGTAAATTTATATTATTTTTATTAGATATTACCTGTGTGCCTGGATACATCTCAGACAAATTATATTCAGTATTATCTATACATTATACTACATGACAAAGGAAAAACTTGTTAAGAAGTTGCTATAGGTATAGAACCACTAATTCAGGCCCGGTCAGAAAGAACATACAAGAAAGTAGTACATATTTTAAACAAAATAGTTCCTACGCATAGCTGTATCTTTGTCAATGGCGGGTATATTTGGGTAGTTTTGGTATAAAATGAAAGCTTGTGGACTTGGGATCACTGTAGAACCCTTGTTGAAAGATTTATTTGAATAATAAAGAAGCATATGAAATTTTGATAGGAGGGCACATTTGACCTGTTGTTCAGATCAGAAGTTCCTGTTTTTGTACTATCAAACTTCCGGGAACCAGTACGCTCTAATATGCAATTAAAGGTATGTTGATTTTTTCAGCACAAGTCAGGATAAGGTACATTTTTGACATGAAATAACTGCCACTTTAACTGAACTTAAGACAAAGTAGCCATTAATGCTTGAAATTGCAGAATTTAACATAGAAAGGAATGGGGCTATGAATTAGTGGTTTTATACCTATACAGATAGAGGCAACCAGAAATTTAACTGTTTATTACAACTTTAGTTGATGAAAATTGAAAAGCATAAAATTTCTTTCTTTATTTTTCTTGTTGTATGAAGCTATTTTTTCATTAACACCTACCTCTTGGTTTTGCCCTACTAAAAGTCAGGGTTCATGATAAAATATCTGATTTTGAATGTAATATTTGCCACTGGACAATATACCATCCATCAATCAATCTGTTCAATTTCTTAGTGAAAAGTAACTTATTTTTTTACAAAATGTAATACATACATTATGTAATAGTAACATTTTGAAATCACTTCTTATAACCATACCTTTGGATTGGGTTTTGTTGAAAATCATCTCTGTATTTAAAGTTATACAGCTCCATTTTGAACATTTTTGCAAAAATTAACATTTAAAAGGAGATGTGGTTTATTTGTCAGTGAGACAGTAAAGCATTCACAAAAATAAAAAAAAACAGAAAACAATGTGGCTATTAACTGTCTTCAAGACATTTATTATGCCCCAGCCGTGGCGGAGGGGGCATTAAGTGTTACCCTTGTACGTTCGTCCGTCTGTATGAACGTCCTAAATTGGTTTCCGTTCTCTAACTTTAGTTTGCCTCATCCAAATGTTATGAAGCTTATACACAATGCTTATTACCACAAAACACAGATCAAGTTTTGAATTTGGGTGGCGTCACTTTTACCGTCCTCAAGTTTATTATGCCCTTTATAATGTATAATGCAAGCAGGGGTGTCAACGTATATTTGTTCCGCCTAACAGAAGTTCCACCGGAAACTTTGTTATAAACAATGTCATAATATCTGTTCCTGTTGGAACAAATATTCTATACCATTTATTCCGTTAGGAACAATTACTGTAATATTTATTCCAGTGGAAATAATATTCCAGAATATTGTTTCCATTTGGAACTTATATTATGAAGGAACTTCTATTCCGTGACAGGGGCATCATCAGTGTCCAATGCATATATATACATTCTCCATTTACTATTTATGGGGGACAATTCTTTTTGTCAGTTGTGTGTCAAAGAAAGAAGGGAATGCATTCATGACTTTGTACATTTTGTGTAAATATTTTAACATTGATTAACATTTTTGTGTACTGTTGTTTGTCTTTTTCTTTTTTAGCCAGGACATTGTCAGTGTATTTTCGACTAATGAGTTTTAATGTCCCTTTGGTATCTTTCACGCCTCGTTTAATTTACATGTATAAAATAAATAAATAAATAAATGAATAAATACATGTACTTGAATAAAAACATAAACATGTAATTAGGTAAAATAGAAAGTAGGTACAACAGTAATCTGTTTCCTGTTTTTTTAGGTATTTTCCTGTTTTGTTTTAATATCTGAATGTCAATATTTTGTTTTTGTTTACAGTTGGTGTTTAATTTGAAGGTAATTTATTGTTTATTGGATGTTAAAGCTGATGCAGGATAAAGTCTCGGAAGAAAATGGTGCAATTGTAAGTACAATGTATTTTTAAGTATTTAATTATGTGTATATATATATGTACAGTTAAACATGCATGTGTTTTTTTTATTTGCATTACATACTGATTTTGTGTCATGTATGGATACCCCATATCTTTTGTTTTTCCATTATAAAACTAAAATCATGTGTCAACCTATCTAAACTATATACAACTTGTGCTGCCAAATTGATAGGATTAAAAAAATCACTTCAATTATAAATATGTATTAATCAGACATACACCATTGTACATTAAATGTCTTATTCCCAACGATATCCATAGTGAACAGGGAACATCTACTAATTGTGTAGTGTGAACTCTGAACTTATATACTGTGAATTCATTAATATTCGTGGGATACCATTATTTTGTGGGTACAGGTGAACCACCAATTTACAAATTTTCTATAGGCTTGTTACTGTTACAATAATAATGCAGACTAAGACAAAACCATGAAAATGCAAGTTTTCCTAAAGCCTCGAAAAATTGGTACCCACGAAAATAAATGATTCCACAGTATTCTAAACCAAATCTGTTCTAAACCTAATCTAGAGTGAACGATTGTAGAAAACTTATTTCAAAAGGAGTAACACATCCTAAATTTTACAATTATGCTGTTTATCGAGCCCAGAAATTTAGATATGATCCGGGTAAAATTATCAATCCTTTAAATAAACTTATTCTATAAGGTTACCAATTTAACACTGTAATTAGATCTTGAATATTGTTTTTATTGGTATAAATATTGATTTTGTTATCAGTAAACTAAAACCATACTAAATATTATTGCAAAAAAATATATATGTCTGTTTACGGTTACCCGACCGACCCTACTATGGAGCGCCGACCCCAAGTCATTTTATTTCCATCGTAAAGTGAAAAATAAACTGAACTCGTGTCAAAAGCGAAGACCTGTTGGTGACCTTCTGCTGTTGTCTGTTCTATGGTCGGGTTGTTGTCTCTTTGACACATTCCCCATTTCCATTCTCAATTTTATTAGTGTTGCCAATAATATAAATCAATTGCCTGATACATCCCAATGTTCACAGTCGTGAATATGACAGCTGTTTTAAGGAAATTCGCGACTCGTGTGATGAAATAAACACTTTGCCGCCATTTTTTTCCAACCAATAATCAAGGGAAGTAATCCAATCATTAAAATAACGGGTAAAATCGGCCCATGATCAACTCGGACCACAACAAGATTAAACCGCATGACTAAAAATCATGTCACAAAAAATAAAATAAAATGGAAATACCGACCTACCTACCCTATTTTTTTAAAGTAGGTAACCTTAAACAGACATATATTTTTTTTTGGCCTAATCTGTCAATACCTATATTTTGGCATTGCACAAGGTCATGTTTTTTCTCTGACTGTTAATGGGAGAACACCAATTGTTAACCAGTTTTTCCAATGAAAATTTTATATTTTAATTTGGGCAGTGCGATGGACAGGTGGACAGCTCCAGCAGTTTCAATGCAATAGCTTTAAAAAAGTTAAACTAATGCTTTTTAAAGGCAGTGCTTTAGTGCCTTTCTAGTTGCCGTGTTAATCTTTCTTTCCGCGATATCCAACTTATCTACGTGGGGGGTCATTAGGCTCCAAGTAGATCCGGAAAATGTTGATTCTCTCCTCTTCTTATTGTGATATAAAATGTTTTTTGTTTCATTTCATTTACATTGGGAAATAGAGAAACGATCATTGTGTTTTGTTAGTTTTAAAAACTTTTGATATAATTGTATTTTACATTATAAGCAGTCAACCGATTGACAAACTAGAATTATTTGAATTCCGTGTGTAAAGAGGTCGGGTTAATTTCGAGTGTTATCTGCAATCTAGATGTTTATAAATCATTTCAGTCGTTGATATAATAATTAAAGGTCGACTGAACATGAATTATATTATACAATTTAAGGCGCATTTCTGTTTATGCACGTGAACCCATCTAACGTTATTGATTGTTATTTCGCAGTTATATAAAGTAGCAAATTGTCGTTCCTGAATAGGTGGCGCCGTGGTAGCCGATCCTGTTCTTAAACTTCCGGTTTCTGCACTGCAACTATACAGTTGCATTTTTAATTAACGATGCCAAGTACTTGTTGTTGTGTACCTGGATGTCATTTAAGAGGAGGACATGCATTTCCAAATGACTTAAAAAGAAGGAAAAGTTGGATCAACACCATGGCCCATACGCAGATTGGACGAGAACACGATTTCTCAATCAGCTGTTGTTTGCAAGGCACATTTTACTGAAAAAGACTACGTGCAGGAAACTATTCATGGTAAAACTCTTATTTTCTTTTTAAAATATATAGTTATATATGTAATCGCCTTGCGAATAAACCAAAGTCTGTTTACAACCGCAATTATCGTTTTAGAATAAAAGAGGGTGGTTAATTCTCAAGACGTCATATTTTTTTGGATTACGATTCAATGTGATCTGTTTGAGATTTTTTGGTGCTTGCTACAATTATAATGATTTCTTCCAAGAGGTATATCATACTGAGAATTATTTTAGCAGTAATATGCTAATGTAGTAATGACAGGAATGCATAAGCTATGCCTCATAGACTTTCTTGAAAAATATCAATGACAATGTTAACAGGAACAAAACAATGACATGCTCTCATCTATATTATAGTTATTTAGGTACAAACAATGTATGTTTGTTGCATACGTCTCTCATTGTTTGTCCTTTGGATTTACATACCATACATTTTGATGTACATTGAATCAGGCTAACATAGTTTTATCCAGATTGTAATGAATAAATCTAGTTAATATTTTGCCAGGTAGTACAAAGTATGCATTGCTAATGGAAGTTCATTTAATTATCAAAAAACTAATGTTTTATAACCTTTTTCAGAGCGCAAACCCTCCATACAGAGACTTAAGTCTACTGCCATTCCCAGCCTATTTTCCTGGATCAAGCAAGAGACTGAATCGTCCGCAAAAAGAAAAATCAGGGCAGTTTCCTGTGAAAACAAAAGAACTAAACTTGATGAATATTGTAGTAGAAATCTAGAGGAAAGTTTTAATTGTAAAGTTGGTTTTCCTGAAGAAGTCATTCATACTGCAGCCAGGATTTATGACTGTCCACCACCAACTGCCGAGCTAATGTTGAGCTTCACAGATGGAATTACGCAAACACCATCAATGCCTATATTTTCAGCAGAGAATTTTGAAATGAAGACATGTGACACAGCCATGCATTTTTATACCAGTTTAGAGTTGTATACTAAATTTTTATTTGTTTTGACCACACTTGGTCCAGCAGCACATTGTTTGAGATACATATATTTTCAAATTGATAGGGTGTCATTTGAAAATCATTTTTTTTTATGTCTAAACAGTGGCGTGAGGCTAACACTTGGCCGTTTAGTGGTTTAGTCAGGTATTTTTCGCCATCCAACTTCAAATTAAAGTTTCCTACAACTTGGATTATTATTGACAGCACAGAATATCCCGTGATAAAACATAAAGCTCCTAGAGCTCAGGCAACCTTTTCATCATATAAAAACAGAAACACTGAAAATACTTGTATGTTCGACACCTGGTGGTTTAGTCAACTACAAAAATGTATGTCTCTAATGCATATGTTGGTTGTACCAGTTACTGTGAAATAGTTGAAAGATGTAGAATACATGTGTAGTTCAATTATGTGATCCAGGTGACAGTGTGATGGCAGACAAAGGTTTAAATGTGCAAGATTTGTTTGCTCACTTTTTTCAAAAAAAGAAACAGAATTAGTTCCAAAACTCTTATACGGGATAGAAAAGTCTCCAATTAACACATGCACATAGAGCTAATTATTGGACTTGGCAAAACATACAAAATTCTAATAAATCCTATGAATGGAACTGAAACAAAATTTTCATCTGAAATAACATTTAGTTGTTTTATGTTGTGTAATTTTAGAACTTGTATTGTGCCAAAGGATGCATAAATAAAAGTGACGCAATGAAGTCTGTTCTGATATATATATATAAATATTATTTACAATTACATGCACATGTAAATTGTAATGCATAAAAAAATAAGGAGATGTGGTATGATATTCAGTGAGTTTATCGAACCAAAGTGCATAAGAAATGGGTTAAGCAGTCACAGGTGTTACTGTCACCGTACAATCTCCAACAATTAGAAAAACTTGTACCGTGTAAAAAATTTCAGAGATCTTACACCTAAGTTTGACTTTGGTGAATTGTTTATATCTGTTGATGTAAATATAAAAAAGAAGATGTGGTATGATTGCCAATGAGACAACTCTCCACAAGAGACCAGATGACACAGAAATTAACAGCTATAGGTCACAGTACGTCCTTCAACAATGAGCAAAGCACATACCGCACAGTGAGCTATAAAAGGCCCCAAAATGACAATGTAAAACAATTCAAACAAGAAAACTAACGGCCTAATTTATGTACAAAAAATGAACGAATAACAAATATGCAACACATAAACAAACGACAACCACTGAATTACAGGCTCCTGACTTGGGACAGGCACATACATGTACATACAGAATGTGGCGGGGTTAAACATGTTAGCGGGATCCCAACCCACCCCCTAACCTGGGACAGTGGTGTAACAGTACAATATAAGAACGAACTAGAAAAATCAGTTGAAAGAGGCTTAACTCATCAGATGGATAAATACAAATACAAGTGGACGTGGCCGGGTAGTTGTACATCCAAACAACTAAAAGACACTAAGTACAGATCTAAGAGTACTCGCATTTACTGACAGCTAGTTCAAAGCCACTAACAACTGATAAAAAAATCTTGCATCTAAGACTAAATTATCAATCCGTAAGCTCCCTTTAGAATTTTATAAATTTTAGATTTTACATTTCTGAGTTGTGGGGTTTTAATCATTAAAAAAGGGGGGATTTTCCAGTTTTTGGACAACAACTCAAAAATGCTTTAAGCAGTTCGCATGAAACTTTGGTGAATTATTTATAGCTATTGATGTAATCTCCCTATTGATTTTCATAAATTTCAAATATGACATTGAGAAGAAATTGAACTTTATTTGTTTATAGTCTGGCAACAGATTTATTAAGTATTGCGCAACAGCACATTGTATTGCACAACGGCAAGAAATCTTTAATTGAATATAAATTCAATTCATATAACCGATTTCAAGTTCTTTGACTACATTTATTCAGAAACTATAATATGTCAAATATTTAATTACAATCCAAATTCAGACCTGTATCAAGCTTGAATATTGTGTCCATTTTTGCCCCAACTGTTCAGGGTTGGACCTCTGCAGGTGTATCCAGCGGCGCTCAGCGAATCAGTTTATTTCTTAATTAAGAACTCCTTTTTGTCGAGCCTGCGACTTTTGTCGCAGAAAGCTCAACATAGGGATAGTGATCCGGTGGCGGCGTTAGCTAACTTCTTAAAAGCTTTATATTTTAGAAGGTGGAAGGTCTGGATGCTTCATACTTTGTATATGGATGCCTCATGTTACGAAGTTTCCGTCAGTCACATGTCCAATGTCCTTGACCTCATTTTCATGGTTCAGTGACTACTTGAAAAAAAAGTTCAGATTTTTTGGAATGTTAAATTCTCTCTTATTATAAGTAACAGGATAACTATATTTGGTATGTGCGTACCTTGCAAGGTCCTCATGCCCGTCAGATAGTTTTCACTTGACCTTGACTTAATTTCATGGACCAGTGAACAAGGTTAAGTTTTGGTGGTCAAGTCCATATCTCAGATACTATAAGCAATAGGTCTAGTATATTCGGTGTATGGAAGGACTGTCCAACTGGCAGGTGTTATCTGACCTTGACCTCATTTTCATGGTTCAGTGGTTAAAGTTAAGTTTTTGTGTTTTGGTCTGTTTTTCTTATACTGTATGCAATAGGTCTACTATATTTGGTGTATGGAATGATTGTAAGGTGTACATGTCTAGCTGGCAGGTGTCATCTGACCTTGACCTCATTTTCATGGTTCAGTGGTCAAAGTTAAGTTTTTGAGTTTTGGTCTTTTTTTCTAATATTATATGCAATAGTTCAACTATATTTGGTGTATGGAAATATTTTATGATCTATTTGTCAGTCACGCAGGTTTTTTTTTACTTTGACCTCATTTTCAAGGTTCATTGCTCAGTTTTAAGTTTTTGTGTTTTGGTCTGTTTTTCTTAAACTATAAGCAATAGGTCAACTATATTTGTTGTATGGAAGAATTGTTAGCTGTACATGCCTGCCCAGCATGGTTCATCTGACCTTGACCTCATTTTCTTGGTTCATTGGTCGATGTTTAGTTTACTTGGTTAATGTTAAGTTTATGTGACAGTTGTAATAAAGCTTTATATTTAGGACTATCAACATAATATCAATGATTAGTAAAGAAGGCGAGACATTTCAGCGTGTGCACTCTTGTTTCATTCATAAATTACTTTATACTTGGAAATATAATTTTGCTTGGAGTTATAGTTTCTAAAAAAAGTATTGTCATTGAAAGAGTTGACATGTTGCAATGTACATTTATTCTACATAGTTTTATGGTACCAAATCAAAAGTTTATATAAAAGAAAGAAGTCAAAGTTTCCCCATCATAGTTTAGTTACATACATTTTTTTTGTACCTGAGGTCGTTGAATATAGATCATTATATAAATAAGGAGATGTGTCATGATTGCCAATGAAACAACTATCACCCATACATTGTACTTACCAGTAACAAACCACATTTGCAAAGTCGAATAAAATACAGTTGATAACATTTACTTATTACTAAAAAGAAAATGCCAAACTATTTTTTAACAGTATTTGACTATATATAAACATAGATAAAAAGGTACAAACTGGACATAATGCACTAGTTCATAAACAAATGAGAACAATCGCCTTCATATAGTGCTCAGAATATGACATTCATAAAACTTGTTCAATATCATTAGAGAACTCTAAATCTTAAATACTGAAAGCCACCTCTGATAAGTACAATGTACTATGCAAGATAATGATATAACTGGACTAAAAATACACACAACCTGTAATTAACTGCCTTTACAGCGCTTTCGCGCTTTGATTAAATTTAAAAAGATGTTTATGATGACAAAATGTCTGATATTGACAATTTTCACTTCTTCTGTTCAGGAGATATGGTCCTTTATGGATTGAAAAGGGCACTTTATGTGAATTCCTTGTGATAGCCTTAGATTGCTTGATTCAATCCTTATCAAATTTAAAGATCTAAATGAAAGTCAGGCTTGGTTTAAATTGAAAATTTTCACTTTTGTGAGGAACAGTAGCTAAGGTTGCTATTGCTGTGGGTTGAATACTTGTTACTAAAGAAAACAAATAATCAGGTACAAAACTCTTGTAGTCTCATCATACAACAAAATTCAAATCAGCAGTATTTGTAAGAGGCCAGTATATAAATACCACAGATCTGAGAGGGTGATGGAGCAGATTTTTACCCCGAGAAAACATTGTCAGCTGAGGTGAAGCCAAGGTTGACAATGTCTTTTCGAGGGGTAACAATCTGCTCTATCACCCTCTCATATATGTGTTATTTAATTTATTATACTGAATGTTCTGATATTACTGTCTATTAAATTTGAAATTCAAAGAAATAAACTGTGACGTCTTGTACATATCAATCATCCGTATTAAAGCAGCGTATTTATTAAAGTGCACACTTGATCAAGCGTCTCCATGAAGGGTAATAGAGTGTTTGCCATGGGATAGAATAAATTGTCTCCCTCCTATCAACCAATCAAAGTCTGGCATTTTGACATGAAGTAAAATAATAGGTATTTTCCACTGTCAGACCATCAGTAGAAAGTTTTTTAACTGAATATGCTTTCATTTCATGTATGTAGCCCTTGTTGTTGAAAGATGTAAGAAATTTCAAGTTTAATTATATATGATAAAGTAAGTAAGTAAGTAATCTTTATTTAAAGTCAGGATGCATATATACATAATAACAAAGAACATGAGCTCTTAAGAGCTCTTTAACCGACTGATATTAATAAACAAAACATACATGTAATAACATCAGATTCATATACAACACAAACATACAGACAGCACATACATGTATTAATCATGTTAATACATAGATAGCACATGCAAAATAAAAGCTAGGCAAGATAAATATGATGATTTGTTGGGTTTTTTATTTACACCCTGTTATTTAAACCCCTGTTCTATAACAGGTGAACAAAAGTATGTGGTTACAAAAAAAATAAACAAATGTTTAAATTCCTTGTTATAGACTTATTATAATATATTCCACAGTCCAGATCAGTTTTGTTATTTTATTAACTTAGTCAGATTTTATGTGGGCATTGAATTGATTGCTATGGTAGGAATGATATGTTTGGAAAATAATGTTGAAATTTGGGATTAATCATTTTATAGATATTCCGGTAGAAAACATTTAAATTAAGTTACTAATGAATGTGGCTTTTTGAATGTGTAGGAAAAATTGACAATTGAGGCCTTTTTTAGACATATTTAGTTCAGAAATTCTTATCAATTTGAAAAACCAGTATAAGATTATGAAGATTACAAGTAAGTTAGATTATTAATTTATTAGATATTTTGAATAATCTAGAATTATTTAACTGCTTGTTATAAATATATTTAGGAATAGAGACAACTTTCTTAATTTTTTCAGACATTTGCCTAGATCTGTTTCTAAAAAAAAAAAATTTTTTAATTGATAATTAATTCTGCCATTTGTTTTTTTTTTTTTTAATTTGATTATCAGTACTGAATACATTTTGTTTTAATATCTATCTGCCTGTCAACACTGTTGTTGTGAGTTTGACCCTGCACATGGCAGGTAGGTTGATTTAAATCTAAATAGACTAGGATTGACAGTTTTCCCACCAATGTTTGGTTGTTTTTTCTGGGCACTCTGGCTTCCTTAAAAAACTGGCTGCCACAAATAAGTTGTGCTGAAAGTGACGCTAAAAAACACCAAAAATCAATCAACCTAT